TAACTGTTGTTCTGCTGATCATCATCATCATCATCATCATTATACATGTCAGCTAGAGATGGTAAAACACCTCCGCTATTGTACCGCAATACATAAAGGAAATACATACATACATACAATACATAAAGGAAAAATAAATACGACAGTTGAATGCCAGCTGAGCTACCAGCAACGGATACGCATCGTTCCGGTAAGCTACTAGCCGGCTACTAGGCAAAAACAAAAATTTAATTTCGTTTTACCCTACGAAATAAGATCGTAGATGGAGGGGGAGGCTAAAGGGATGGGGAGGGACAAAGAAACTCACAGCAGGAACGCCACTGAGGTCGGCTCCTTGCCATATCAGCAAGTGTATCCAGCCAAACGTGTTCACCGTCTTTTGGACCCCAACCAGGGAGCCGTGAAGCTCCAACTGAGGCCAGCTCCGAAGTGAGGGCCTTCATTCCTCTGGACCAAGTCATCGCTTGGCCACCTCTCCTCTTCTTCCACCCACATCCCCGGTGAGCAAACAACGCACGTCGAGGGAGTCGGTGGGCTGGCATGCGCAACACGTGGCCCAGCCATCGGAGCCTGGTGAGTGAAATGACGGTGCTGAGCGGTTCATTCCCTTTTCCTAGGCCGTAAACAAGGCGTCGAACACGCTCGTTACTCACGCGGTGTTCCCACCAGATGTGAGCCAAACTGCGAAGGCACCGATGGTCGAACGTAAGTAGCCTCTTCATGTCCGCCGATCTTAGGGGCCAGGTTTCGCAACCGTACAGTAAGGTCGAACGTACCGCTGCATTGTACACTCTACCCTTCAGGGCGAGAGTAATGTCGCGCCGTCGCCATAGGTGGCGAAGGTTAGCAAAAGCACTTCGAGCTTTCGCTATGCGGTTCGTGATCTCGTCTTCGATCCCAAGGGCGCTGATACAACTTCCCAGGTAATTGAATTTCTGAACGACTTCTAGCTGATCCCCACCAAGGGTCAGCACAGGGGGCGAACCCTGCCAATCCTGGAGGAACGCTTTGCACTTCGGTGGTGCAAAGCAAAGCCCGAAGCGACTGACAGCCAGTGCTAATCTGTCCAGCGCGGCTTGACACGTCTGGGAGCTGTCACAGATGAGGGCAATGTCGTCTGCATACTCTAAGTCAAGAAGTCGTTCTCCTGGGAGTAGCTCCACACCTTCCAAGTCATGTCCTGTAAATGCAATCTCCATGACTTCGTCAATAGCGAAGTTGAATAGGAAAGGTGACAGCGGGCATCCTTGTCTCACACCGCTGGAGATATTGAAGGGTGGCGACAGCCTGCTGTAAGCCCTTACTCTGCCCGTGCTACGCGCATATAATGCTTGGATAATATTTACATATTTCTCGGGCACACCTTTCCTGAGTAGACAATTCCAAAGGGCACATCGATCAACCGAATCGAAGGCACCTTTGATGTCGAGGAACACGACTACGGTGGGCCGCCAATATGTGTGACGGTGCTCCAACAACTGACGCAAGGTGAAGATGTGGTCGATGCAGCCACGACCCCGACGAAACCCGGCTTGCTCCTCACGAATCTGGCTTTCACGAGCGCCAGTCAGTCTGTGGAGAATTATGGACGCGAGTAATTTGGAGGCGATGGAGATCAGACTGATTCCTCTATGGTTGCCGCATTCCGAGCGCGAGCCGCCTTTGAAGATGGGAACAATAACGGAGCGGCTCCAGTCGGTTGGGACAGTTTCCTGCTCCCACAGTTTCACTAGTAATTCATGCAAAGCATCAACAAGAGCAGAGCCTCCAAATTTGAAGAGGGCTGGAGGAAGATCATCTGGTCCCGCGGCTTTGTTCAACTTCAACAGTCCGATCTCACGTTCGACTTCTGAGCGAGAGGGTGGATCCAAAGGGACAGCCCACGGAGCGGGGCGATCAGTGACCGGCGAATCGAACAATTCTTGCCGATTAAATTGCTTTTCAAAATGCTCAGCCCAACGCTCCAGACGTTTTGACAAATTGTGGATAGGCTGTCCACTCTCGTCACGTATAGTTTCACTAACACCAGGTCTCCTGCTGCCCGTTTCCCGTATCAGACGGAATAACTTACGATGGTTGCCAAGGGCAGCGGCCACTTCCATCTCTGACGCACGATGAGACCACCAAGATTCGCGGTCTCTCTTCAGGCTAGCACGGAGTTTTGCCCGGAGCTCTTTGCGAGTTTCATTGTGCTCGCTTCCAGCCGGGATTTGCCGGCGAGCATCTATAAGTTCCAGAGACTGCGAAGAGACCCAATGTCCATGTTGTCTATTAGACATACCACATGAGGATTTGCCTGCTGCTAGTAAGGTCTGGCGAACATGTGACCAGTGACCATCAATTGTCTCCTGTGAGCGCTTGCTCAACTCGCATGTTAGCGTACTTCGATACGCATTCAGAACAGCTGGTTTTGTCAGTTGGCTGGTGTCAATACGCTCACAGCGTCGTCGTGGGCGTCCGCCAAAACGCATCCGCATGTCAGCACATACAAGTGCATGATCGGTGTCCACACATGTGCTCCAAATCGAGCGACAATTCTGGATGCAGCCTCTCCAGCGGTAACTTATCGCAATGTGATCGATCTGCGTGCAAGGCTGGTTCGAGGTTGGTGGGCGCCAAGTCACCCTTCGGCGGGTGCTGTGTCGGAAATTAGTGCTCGCAAGAAATAAGCGAGCATCTTCACACAAATGAAGTAACCGCTCACCGTTATCATTACGGGAGCCTACACCGTGTTGACCGCCCAGATGCAGTTCATCAGTGGACAACTTTCCAACTTGTGCGTTCATATCCCCCGCCAGCACAACAGTGTCCGTGCTTCTTCTGTGGCGAAGGAGCTGGGTCAGTTGGCGGTAGAAGTCGTTCTTTACCGAATCATCGCTACAGTTTGTGGGCGCATAGGCAGCGATGATGAATAGACATCTATTAGTCCCGCGCGACTTCGAAGCTTTAAACGAGCCAGCCAATCGGACCGCACACATCCGGCTACTGATTGGAATCCAATCAACCAGAGCAGCTTCAGCCCGGGGACTCAGGGCAATACCAACACCGGCTTGGCCGGTGCTCGAAGCTGCATCGTCACCGGATAGGCGCAAGGAGAAAATACTGCTTGCGTCCCTGAAGGGGATCGCAGAGTGAGCACAGTGCTCGAGTCTTGCAGGCGAGTCTCTGATAAGCAGCAGATATCGATCGAGAGGGTCTCCAATGTTCGGGCAAGTGCTGCCTGTTGACCGATTTGTAGCAGTGTGCGTACATTGAGGCATGCCAATCTGAAGGAGGATCGAGGGCTCCAAATGGAAGCCGATGAACTGGATTGGACCGCTTGGTTGGACATGGGCTTGTCGACAGGAGAGGAGTGACGCTCCGCGTTCACGTGTGAGTTGAAATTAGAAGGTAAATGCCTAGCAAAGCATGTTGGGGGAGGGCCAAGAATCGGGGGGTTGAAAACTGGGGGGATATAAGTGAAGTTGGAATGGGACGGTAAGAGTGAAAAAGCGTAAGAGGGGGAATAAGAAGACGGGAAGGCTTGAGCAGTAGCATCCAAACCCCTATCCACCCTGCTCGATGCAGCAGATAGGGCACCGTTTATTATCCTCTGCGGTGGCCAGAGCATCAGAAATTGTTTGAAGGAAAATTCATAGTATTGCGTGGGCAGGATACTGTCAGGTTGCCCAGGCCTAGACAGGAGAACGATTAGGGTTCTCAACCAAAGCCTTTGGTTCAAAAACCTGACCGCAAGGCAGCGGGTTTGGCGTTGGGCTACAAGGAGTCCATTTTAAGGAATAAGGTGCCACCCTCATTCCAACCCCCAACCTGGAGGACCAGGAGGCTGAGTTTGTCTGGCCTCTAACCATTGACCAATCTGGTATGAGTGACTCTGAAGGTGCAAAAGCACCACCCAGCGTAGCTCAATGGATCGCTGAGGCACACAAACCATCGCACCACGGTAAGGTCCAGCCTCATTGCGATGGTGCTGATACTAGACTGTTCTGCGGTCTTTATTTGCCTGCTGTTTTACAGGAAATGCAACAGATTAATCTTCTCCTTCAGCGTTAACTTTCAACGTCTTTCCTTTAAGCCATTATGCTTCGATAAGCGTAATAACCAATTTCGAATTGTTCAGGGCACGGAGCGGATCCAAGAACTAGTATGCTATCTATAGAAAATACATATAATAATAAACCTTACTTGTTTGCGCTCACAGGCAGCAAACAAATAGTGGGGAATAGCATCTAACGAGCAGCAGACGCAAACGGCAAGGTCACTGCGGTCTGCACTGAATGGGTTATCTTACAATCGGTTACTCGATGGTTCTACACGCACTCAAAATGTTGCTTGCGACCTGTCTACTGTATGGGCATATTTTCAAAAAAAAAGACGGTGTGTGCTCGTATCTGGAAAGATTACACAAAACATTCACGGGCCATCTGTGGACCCAGGCTCGTGGGGACACATGGTGGGAGGTAAATGTCGTGAACACTGGGGCAGGTCAGGTCAGCGCGTGCGTACATCCACACAGAGAGAGAGAACATGCTGCATCGTTCAACCTGTGCGAAGCCATCAAGTGCAGTGGTTGTGGATAAGAAGAATTTCGGACGTTGCAGTATTCCGTTACACACGAACTATGTTGCTTGAACAGATGATCGGCGGCCACTACACAGTATAACTACACATGGTCAGTTTGTTGTGGTTAAATTATTAGTGACTGTTATTGTCAGAGTGGTTAGCATACATGTTACAGAGGGGATCATCCATTATACAGTGACGGTCAACTTGGGTCGTTCTACTGTATGTTGTGTCACACTCCATGTGAAATGGAGTATAACAGCCACAATCGACTTGGTATTCGTAAGTTACCAGTTCTTGTTCCCATGTGTACGAAGCGAATTCATTTACTTTCTTAATCTGCTGGTGCACATGAAAGACAATTGGATTACATCGTTCACTTCCTAAAGTTCCAGGGGGCTCACCTGAAATGTAAAACCGCAGGGTGGTTGACAGCGAGAGGGCATTCTCATCGTAACTGCACGTAAATTGGTGCGCTCCATAAGTGGCCTTTTCGTTAACATATAACACATTACCGCTATGCTCCGCGCTTGCCCATGGGTAGTTGCTGTTCCAACGAGGCCGACTGCGCTCCATCATTAACTGAGGAATATCTGGCCCAACTAATAAGCAAGTGTACGCATGTGTGTCTCTTGATGAAAACACTTGTTTGTCCAACCCGGTTATCCGTAGAGAAACTTTGCTTGCTTCTGCATGTGGGGAAAACAAAGGAGCAATTGTTGTGCAGTAATTAGCATTATTGTGAGGTTTTGCGTCTAAACAAGGACAAGCAGCGTAATGCAGTACATGTATGGGAGACAGCGACACCGAAACCCTTCACTACGAATGGTTGGCGTCATCCGGTTTCGAAATTACCTATCACTGTGGTTAACCATAAATAAACGCGATCGGATGGGGATACAATGGAGTGAGTTCCTATACTACTCACCACTTGAGCGGTAGTACCGTTTCAATCACACCGTATTTTATAAATTTCCGTCTGGTTTGCTACTACCAAGTGCACTACTGTTCACGGACCTCAAGGTAACGATAACCATGACTAAGGAATTACGGTGGTTCGCGTACAGCTGATACTTGGTGCTCTTAGTGCCTCTGTATGAAGACTCGTTTGATACTGCCGCACCTTGTCTGCAAAGAAAAAGGTATTAAATTCACAGATCGTCGCAGAAGCTTCTAAACCATTTAGTCCTTCACGTGCGCAGAAGAGTAGCTTCAGTCCGTTCGACATCATCAGTTTTGCTTATCCATCAAGATTCGAACCCAGGATAACCAGCGGCTTTTACGGTCAGTCGGCAGCTTATGCCATGGGTCACGGGAATAGCCTCCGACCATCCCGATTTACATGCTAACTGCGGCATAGCTAGTCTTATCGTCCACTGCCACGCAAGTTACGAACATTGCAGAGAACGGGGTTGGACCCGAAACACACGAGGTACACTGAGAGTAGCTATGTACGACATAGCATTTAGAAGTTGCTAGGACGGAGTTGTTTTGATGTACGCATCAGCTTCCAAACCAGCCTGTTGGGCATTATCAACAGTGCGCATTCATCGGAGCCATCGAAATCGTCGACTGATGAGGCGTCCAAACAGTATTTATATAACTAATTACACGTGATTTTTTTCAAAGGGCAAGTAGGTCTTATCTATACCAGTTTCTCGTCTGGAGTTTTCTACACACTTTAACGCCCACAGTCCAAAGTTTCGCATTTGAGATCAAACAGTAAACCGGATAGTTATTGCAGATATCCCATTGACGTATGTGATTTCAGCGATATCTCTTCAGCTTATTCGGTAAGGATGGCAGTTCGATGCCATCACAGTCAAGTGCTTCAAATTTTCTACATGGTATATGTCGGGGAGAAAAGCTGATGCACTCCAACTAATCGCACAAGCTCTAGAAGTGCCAGTGGGTCAGGATGCTCAGGACTGAGTGTGCGAATATCAAATGCAGCAGCAGCTCCCTTCCCAATTTCCGTTTCGTAATCCACTCCACCGTAAATAATTGCGTCGCAAGCTCCATCACCCGTCATACAGGCACAATTAGGGTGACCTTGTTGCTAAGGCCGCGACATTCATAAACTGGCGACCGTTGAGGAATAGTTGGATACAGGGAAGTGACGGTTATCTCCGGGAGTAAATTTATAAGTACCACTTTGATTTCTAGTGCCACCTTTATAATATCCAGTTGGCTTAATTATTCGAGAAACTATATATTCTGTGTTAACACACGCAGTTGTTAGTATTACAATGCGATTTCCCAGTTGCCTTGTCAAAGTCACAATAGTAGAACGCGAGCCGAAGCTGACGTAACAAGTCACGTAGGATGGTCTGGGTGGAAAATACAGGATATACAGCACATCCATGTATTCCTCATGACATTCACATTACCACAAGTGTAGGTCTAGTTAACTCTGTTACGTCGGGGCTAATGAGCACGGCATTTGCTTACATAATGTCCGCGCCTGGTGAACTTAGGCTACTTCAGGTACTCTAACTGTTAGCTACATCATGGATTTGCTTTTCTATGCGGATAGCACTGATGAAGAACTATCACGATTAGAAAGGGCATTCTGTGGCTAACAAAGTCGGATGAAAGTGAATACAGTACAATCTCATCCTGCTGTATTTCGGATTCACCTTCACCTCGTGGTTCCTCAATTCGATGATGTTGCTAAGTTCCAGCTGCTGGTTAACATGCCCAGCGTTTTTTACTACTTGATAGGTCAATGTATCAACGTGCACCCCCAGACATCTACTTTTATTTCCCAGGTATTCTATATAAAATAATATC